GCCATTCGCGCGCTGTGAGCCGTATCCTACGGGCAGATTGACGCGTATAAAAGAACGTATTGTGGACACATACTGCCGGCAGATAGGCGCCTACGCCGTTGCCGCTTTCTCCCCTGAAATAGCCTCTTGCCACGATGCTTTTATTGACCGTTCCGTGCGCGCTACTCTATTCCGCACTTCCCGTAAATTTAGATAAATGACTGAATTATATCGAGACGTTAATTGCGTGAGTCGCAATTTCATAACGGAAATACATATTCTCGCGGTCTGTCAGTAATTTTATTTTTGTCATCGAGAGACTTTTGGTTTCGATGTTTTTTTTTTCATGAAAAATTTTCGCGTCTTTTCGAGCGGAGCGAAATTCTCGCGGAAATTCGCCGCGTGACACGTGTACGGGAAGATCCGTGCGAATCTTACACCGCGAAATGGCTGGATATAGCGGCATTGGTAATGGTTAACGAGAGTAGAACGAAATGCATGCGCCGCGGCGCGCCGCAATTTCAGCACACCGAAGAATTACGGGCGCGAGAATCGTCTCGTCTCGTTTCGCGATAGACTCGCTTTCGCGAGCGCGATGCGGGACGCGCCGCGCGCGCTATCATTATTCTATGCATTATTTATGTCATTCCCCGTGCGCGCCGAGTACAATGTGGGTCTACGAATCAAAATGCATTGCTTATGCAAATAGCGGTCGTGCCCCGCAGTCTCGGGGTGAATTCGCAGTCTGCTACGGGGAATAATCATAATGATCAATAAGATACAACCGCTCGTACGTCCGTTTCCATCTCTCTCGCTCCCTCTCTCACCTTTCCCCTCCTTTGTGTATTCTCACTCCACACCTCATGCAAATCTTGAGGTGTATTGTCTGGCGATATTAAGGGAATTGTTATCGCGTTGCATAATTTCGGTATTCGATCGCGCTCGGGTTTGCCGAGCTCGTTCGCCCGGCAATCGCTTTGTATACCGATTTATTCGGCATCAATTTCTGTGCCGCTTTTCATCTAATTTGCTGCGGAAATTGCAAAAATTATATAACTCAAATCCATTATCGTCGATGGCTGTCGTTTCGCGCGCGATAACAGATTCTCAGAAAGTTTTCAGCCGCTCTCGCAAGATGTGTTTATCTACTCTCCGCCGCGCGCAATGTTTCGACGATATTTCGCGACCAGTGGCTCTCTACGGAATAACGGAAGGTGGTAGAGAGAGAAGAGAGAGAGAGAGAGAGAGGGAGAGAGCGAGAGAGAGAGGTTCGCTTATAGGGCGAACGCGGTCGGTTCTGGTCGCCGGGTGGTTTTGGAATCCGCGCCACGAGTCGGTGGTTTTGCGGTACGGCGAAAACCGCCGACCCTCTCGAAGCTCTTCCCGACCGTTCTCCCTGTTTGCGTCGTCCTTCCGCGTAATCCCACCATGGCTTAGCGAGTTTCTCACGAGAGCCTCTAAGTAAAGCGGACGAGTGCGCGCGGTCACCAACTCCCGAGACTGCTGTCTCTTTGATTAGTGCGGTGCTCCGAGTGATACGGGCGGCTGCTTGTTCTTTCGAATGTCAAAGTGGAAGAGGAATAAGATGAAATTTTATTACTTCTTTCAAATTGAAGAAATTAGAGAGGAATTTTTAACAATTGTCTTGCAGTTTTACTTTTTATTTGAAATAAGACAAGCCGAGAAATTAAAATGTGTAAAAATTTTACCAATTGGAAAGATCAAATATTTTTTCAAGCGTCTTAAAGCGTGTTACTTATGGTGCGTCATTTTGCAAGAATACCTGAAAGAAGCTTCGTGCTTCAGCGCGGCTTCCGCTTTTAGATGCGTTTCTAATGCAGGTACAATGCCCGTTTAGCGTACCTCGAGATGAGCAAATGTTCTTGGCACTTGAGCGTTGCGCGTGCCTCGTGTTTGGTTACGGACTTGACCACAAGCCGGGGACACCGTAGAGAGCAGTTAACCTGTCCGATAATACGTGCCGATAATCAGGCGTCTAGTGGACGACGGACGGCGGCGGGATCGATGGAGCTAACGTAATTAGACGCGGCGATACGCGCCACTTAAGCGTACTTGAGTGGCTGCAAACGCAACCGATTGGTTCAGTCGCTGTTAGGAGTTGTCGTCTCCTCTCTTCCTCCCTGGACGTCGGAGGGACAGATGTTGACCGTAAACGACGACGATGTCGAGCTCGCCGCTCGGCATTAACGAACGTTCATTGAGCGCGGGCCTCCTCGCGCGCGCTCCATTGAGCTGTTTCGCGATAATACACTGCGAAACGGTAATCCGGTATCTCTGCCGTGATGTATTAAATGTCGCGCGAGACTCGAAAACCAATAAAAGCGCGATCGTCGCGCTTTAACGCCAATTCTTGTTCGTCGTTATCCGGCGCCGGCTATCGTTTTCACGGGTTTGTCCGGGCGATAACGCGCTATTTGAATACCGACCCGGTGCGCGCACGCGTGCACCATCGCCGATGGCTCTCGATCGCGCGGGGTAAAAAGTGCGGCGTGGAAAGAGAGGGAATGGTATGATGACGCGGGAGAGGAGGCTATCGGATAATTAAATCGGCCGCGGCACGTAAAGGACACTGATTGACGTGCGCGACGGCTACGTTCTCTCATTATTATTCGTCGAAACGACATAATTCGCGCGCTTCGCTTTTCGACGGACGCTAACCGCGTTGCCCAGCGGTGTTTCTCTCCGGCGAGCGAGCGAGCGAGACGCGAAAAGTCATCACTCGCTATCCTCGTCTCGTTTCAGCACAAAACGATGAATATTTCAAGTTTCAGAGAGAAAAAAAAATATTTTTCTCTGTATATCGACAAGATGTCATTTCGCTCGCGACGTTTGCAATAACGAGAATATTATATTTTTCACATTTCTGTATTTATTATCTAAATGTGGTTCCGTGCCAGTAAGCCACGTCAGTGCAATTTAAAAGAATTATGGACGTGATTCATCGAGTGAAAATCTGTTTACGATCTTTGGTATTTCGATAGACCGATATTCTTGTCGTATCGATCTGTTAACCGGCCGTACCGGGAAATGTCAAGCACATTGCCGTCTGACATCCGCTGCTCCGTTCCACAGGCGAAAGCCAATAAATTAATTGGATTGACCGTCGTTACTTGTCGCGTACAAATCGGATTAGCGATTCCCGCTGCGATCAGCTGTTGGTCGATTCTCGTTAACTTTGCTCTTCCGTTCCTTAATGCGAATAGGCAAGAGAGTCTACTCGTGTTAGGTATGTTGCATTTAAAAAAGTTATTTGCGTAGAACGAGCACGTATATGTGAAAGCGCGCGTGTGTATTCCTGCCAGCAACAAGCAAGCAAGCAAGCAAGCAAACGAGATGCGCAATGTTGTCTGGCTTCACCGATCCCCCGAGCTTGAGCCGTTTAAAGATATTGCATGCCTGGCGCGCAAATCCTCGGCGTAATTCGAACATACACATGCGATAATGCGAGTCGGGGAGAAGTCCGACTCGAAGCCGCGGAGATTAATAAAACACGTTGCGGTGGCTATGAGTAGCTACAAGGCTACTACCGGTTAAAATACATCGGTGCATGCGATGTTTGCATCGTGCCATTACTCTCAGAATATTACTGGCTTTTTAATGAAATATAAAAGCAAAGGATATATAGAGATAATTATATATAAAATATAATATTATTACGACGGATAATTTTCAGTAAAATATTAGGATTGCGTACATAAAACGGGAGAACGTCCATGTCGTTTGTCGAACGTTTATATTTATTCCCGGTGTATTATGCGCTCCAACAGTGTGTTGCATGGGCTCGTCGATGTGTCACGTATGTGTCATTAGCGCGTTGTAATGCGGCCGAAAGTTGATCTTTACGAGTTTTGGCACGATTTTCATTACACGCGGTCGCGATCGCCGATGTTAGCGAGTTCCTGCACGAAGCACCGCGATTCCGGCATCCTTCGGCCGCCGTGGAATCTAGATCGTACATCGCGGGAGAACGATCGTGCGGAAGGAGGACAAAGAAAGAGAGAGAGAGAGAGAGAGCGAGAGCGCGAGAGATAGAGAGAGAGTGAGTAAAGGAGAAAGGGAGAGGGAGCTTATTCCGGCTTTTACGAAGCCATAGTGGCGTATCCGTTTTGCGGGGCACGACGTGCAAAACGATCGATAACACGCTCGTAACGTTATTACCAACAGGTATACGGAGGTGGGTAGCACCGGTACTACCGGTAATAATGTGGCTTTTACGCTCTCTCGTGGGCGCTGATACAGCAGCCACTATAGTCAGGCGGCGTTTACTGCAGCACACTCCACGACAAAAAGATTGCCGCTTTGCAATATTGTTAATTGGTATAAATATAATTAAAGAATAGCGTTTGTCATATGTCATACCAGTTTTAAATCATTATTAGTAACTGTTTCTATTTTGAAAATTGCTCATTAATTTTCAACATTTGTTACGCTTAAACATAAACAATAATGTAGTATTTCTCTCTCCCTCTCTCTCTCTTTTTTTTAATAACTGTAATTGTTGTAACGAAATGAGTGAAACAAAATGCATCGAAAGTGAGTAAAAAGAAAATTATTAGCCGAATTGGGATTTATTTTTACATAGACATGATTATGCATAAAAATGATAAAATAGTTTATTGGGATATTACAAAAATATTCGAAGATTATTTTTATGAAGGAAGTTTTTTATTTTGCAAACGATGGCGAGTTTAGAAATATTATCAAACACCAATATTATGATGAGAGAAGTAACGGCAGTCGTAAACCGACGTGAAAAACAGAAAAATATATACTGCGTTGAAATAAAAAGAAAAACATTAATTCGCTCGGTGCGCTGCTTTTTTATTGCGAAATGTACATGTAAGCGACAACATTTTTTTGTCTGGCTCCGTATATATCGATTTCGGGTTATCTACAGAACAACGAAGTCTTTCGAATAAATCTCGGGGTATTATAGGCTTTAATGGCGTTAAGGGATTGTATGGCGCATTGATACATTTAATGGTGTTTTTGCGTTGCAGGGACCACCGCAGCCTGGGCAGCCGTTCAAATTTTCGGTCGGCGACTCCTGCGATCGTATCAAAGAGGAATTCAATTTCTTGCAAGCCCAATACCACAGGTATACTTCTATTCTTCATATTTACAGACTCATAAATTCATAAGTTGCGATCAATCGAAGACATACGGAATATTTTCATTTTATTCAACGAGAATAGTCGACGGGACTGATTTATTACAAATTATTTGCAACAATTCATTAATGAATCACGCGATTACATAAACGTATGTCTCCGTTGTTCGTGAAAGTTATGTCATCGATGTAAGTTTTATTTTAATTTTTTTTCCTGACAATTTTTGATGGCATATTCAATTTTGATTAATTTACTAAAATAGTAATCGATAGCTGCGAGTAAGTCGATATTGATACAACTTGTCCCAAAGCTTACGCGATCTCATCGACACTTTTAGCAAGATTATCGGATTCCCGCTCTCTCAGCGAAAATACATATTTTCTCGCGGATGTAAATTAAGCGCGATGTAAATTCCACTCAGCGGTTAGCAAGTTTGTCGAACGGAGTAAATGTTCGCGTCCGTAGACGGCGCAGAGCCCGTATCCATTAGGTGGTCGTGCAAATACCGTGCGCCTAACGCGCGCCTAACGGGCGCACACGCGAAACGCACGGACGAACATACGAACAGGCGGACGTAGGCAGATAATTGTTTGTCTGACCGGAAGCTGTGTACACCGAAGTACGCGCGTAGTCTGGAGAAGGTCCTCATTCGGATAATGCGCCTGTGTGGTGCGCGTTTCTCTAATCACAGTAAAAGTGTTTCCTCCAGAAATATGCATCGCGCGTCTCTGTAAAATTAGCTCTACTTTTTCAAAATTCGAAAAAAATAATAACATATTTCCGGATAATCTCTCGGAGAATTCTAAAGTTCTCCATTGATTTCAATAAGAGTTTAAAGTAGTGGAAATGTCACTCGAAAAACCAAGAGATTTTTTTTTGTGAAACATTTTTTTTAAGTTTTGAGAAGATTTCAAATAGTTCAAATAATCGAATTTTTTCAGTTGTAAAAAGAGTTTTGATCACAAAATTTACGGAACTTTGAAATTTTGAACTATGCAATTTTTTTTATATATATGATAAACCTGTAAAAGATTGTTAAATTTATATTTTTATTTGTCGACCTATAAACGTCACGTTATCAAAGCCTGTAGTGCGTATAGCAAAAACTCATTATTTTCTTTTTACTGTACATGAAAGCTGTACATATAAAATGTTGATAAAAAGAAAGATAATTAAAATAGTAATATCAAGTATGCTCTAGCGAATAAATTTTATCACGCGTTTAGAAACACCATGATCAGAAGCAACATTCATAAATTCCGCGGATTGAGATATTAATCATGGAAAAGTAAAAATGCGCCCGGCTTGCGTCGTGAAACACAGCTATGTCGGTCGCGCGCGTGTAGTAGTCGCGCGCGCGTTTAAGCGCGCAACGTGATTCCCGATAAATCGTCTCGTAAATCGTTGGTGCGGCGTCAATCTGAAATAATTAATCGACTCTCCGATCGCGCGAGTATTGCCGCTTGCGTAACGAGAGTTGCAACTCGCGAAGAGCGATCGTTAATACCGCGCTAATTTATCGCCTTAGAGGAGAGATTGTGCCGCGCGGTGTACAGCATTCCTTGATTCGCCTTTCACGAATATTAAATGGCGCGTCGCGAAATTACTACCTTTTCATCGAATCTAATTAAACGATTTTGCCTCTCGATATTGGAGTTTCTGGATTTTTACCTAAAAAATAAAGAACAAAAATTTGTTTGTTAAAGAAAATGAAATGTTAGAATCGTACCTCCGCGCTGATTCGATGACGAAATCAATAAGCCACTTTTCACTCCGTTCGTTATCGCCGGTTGAAATATTTTCTAGATGTTACATTTTTGATCTTTATTTTTCTTCTCGCTTTCGTGATACATATACGGTATTATAAACTTAATGTCGTGATAAAGAACGGCGAGCGGAGGGACAATCCGACGATTTCGAGGGCTGGTGGATATTAATGTTCTGTTCTTGTTCTTGTACAGCCTTAAATTGGAGTGCGAGAAACTGGCCAGTGAAAAAATAGAGATACAGAGGCATTACGTGATGGTAAGCCGGGAGAAGAATGAGAACGTAGAAAGGGGCAGCGCGTTACACACACACACTCACACACACAACACACACCTGTACGACAGAACCATAAGAGTCACTCTTCCGTTGTTCCCAGATTAAAATGCGTTGGTTTTGTCGCGCTGAATGAATTTGAGAGATTACTCGCTCGGTCGTGGTCGAG